AATTATTTTGCAACTGATAGGTGAAAATGGAAACTGGCTGCTTTATTTGTATTCACCATGACTGGAAAAATTACTAAAGTTAGAAGTTTTTTTAAAGACTTCATGAAGCATGTTCTCCTCTGAGAAAAAGTTATAGGGAAAGAAATTAGGAACAAAAAAGTTACCTACTTAATAAAGCAGTGATTTTAATGATTATCTTTAAAAGATTTAATAAGTATTTCATAATAATTCATTTAGTTCTTAAAATACTGCAGAGCATATGGTTGGTCTCAATATCTATCAAAGGAAATGTTTCTATGAGGTTCTTTTCACTTTCTTTTGATCCTTCAATATAATTTCTATATTACTGCCGCAGTAATGAAGGTCACTAAAACTTATACTAGGAGAACAAATGGAAGAGTTTGGTTTATCAATTAAAACTTTATAGAGGACTTATCAAATAAGGGATTTTATAAGCATATTTAATTTTATCTCAATATATGAAAATTTCTCAATTGCCAAATTAAAGGCTGTATTATAGACAATAATTTGATTTACCTTTTGAATAGCTGCTTTAACATAATATCCTAATATGTAATTCAAGGAATAATACAAAGGGCAGAAAATAATAATACTACACAATGCCTTTTAGACAGGGAATAATGAATTTTAAGGTTGCTTTTCTCAAGTGAAATAACTGAGTTAAATAGTTGAGTATAATGAAAGTGACCTTATAGCTAAAGAATAAGTCAAAATTTTACATGTAGAGTTTCATATGAAGGAAAAATTATACATTTACAAATATTGATAAAAGATAACTACTTACATATTAACAAAATAATGTGTTAGTCCTATCTAGTACTTTTTAAAATTGTACAACTGACTAACATTTAAAATTGTGCAAATGACTAACATTTCAACAACGATTTAATGTTTTAAAGAAAATAAATTAGAGAAAACAGAATAAAATATATATATGTGTGAAACATATAATATATATAATGAACAGAAAAGTTAATGGCCAAGTATTTTAAGAAAGAGGAAAAAAGAGGCAGGCACACACAGAGAAAATGAAAGTGTGAGAATCAGATGGCTCAGATAATTCACACATCTAGTTCATCTCCGACTTTAGTGAAACCATCAGTAAGTGACATCATTGTGCCAACCACAAAGAAGAACTCCAGGCCCTCTGAAAAATATTTTTCAAAGCCCCAAGGAAATCCAAGCAGTCCCTGAAATTTTTTTCCAGTTTACGAAAATTGGATTCCTATAAAAGAAAAATGGACCATTTTTACTGCAACAAAAACTGATTTGTAAAAGCTGGAAACAGTTTAAAAATTCTCAACATGAGGTTCTTGTTAGTCTTGAAAAGTAAGAGTTATAAAAAAAAAAAGATTCAAAAATATGGTACAGATACATTGTATATAAGGGAGAAAAAAAGCCAGTCTTACTCCTATTATTTTTAATTAGCTTCAATAGCAAGTTCCAATTTACTTTCTAATACCAGTTCAGGTTTTGGGAGTGCAACATTTACATCTGACCCTCTGGGAATGGCAATTCAATAGCTAATGCCTTGGAGCCCTAATATATTTTGCATTACCCCCTAAATGTTGGGAAATTCTGGTAGCAAGAGGTTCAAACTGATAGTGACACATGTCTAAAATCCAGGATTCACTAACTGCCAGTATGTATTTTATCAAACACCCAGTGCCTCTTGCAGAATAGGATGTATGCGCTTAACAATTTTCACTGGTTTCCAATTAAACGGCCTTGCCATATTACACAAATGTAGACATTCATATTAAGAAGGGCACCATGACTTGGATTTTAAGAAACATACAATTTGAACTGTTTAAATCATTCTCTAAATTTGACTCAGTTTCCCCATTTTAACAAATTTGTCACATTATGAAATGTGGTCATTTTAAAAAGAAATTAAATAATTTTTTTCTGAACAATTAAAAAAAACCTCATACAAATTAGAAATTTATTCTTTACCTTGCAGAAATTTGGGATCATATACTTCACCTGAACCCACTGAAACTGTCATGTTAAAAACCCACAAAGACTGAAAAGTCATGAGTACTGGCTGAATAGCATGCCACTTGGCACTGTCATACTCTTTCATGTTCTCAAATCATTAAAAACATTTGTAATTATAAACATTCACATTTTATATAGTTTTAAAAATTATTACTATTCCAATTAACTTGACATTGCTTGTTAATCAAAGACATATGATGAACAGGGAATGAATTTTTAAGTCATGTAAACAATTTTCCTCATTTAAAGGAAAAAAAACCTCTCAAAATAGATAATATCTCCTGTTCTTAAAATCAGCTTTTTCAATATTTAAAATTTAATCAAGACATTTTTCTTTCATAATTATCCCAAATTCTTCATGTTGTTCATTAAGTCTGTTTATTCTCATTTTAACAGTAGAGATAAAGAGTTCAACATCTTCGTTTACATTTTTTTTAAATCCCATTTTGCTTAAAATCAATTAAAATGAAATATTTCAAAAATATTATTTTAAGTCAATGATATTTGATCCAATAGGTTTTATATTTGCCTATTGGATCTCAGAAACCTAAAGGTAGTCATTAGTTTAAAATTTCACATCTGGGACATTATGCATGAAAATTATCATGCCAAAATATGTGAATAATTATGGAGCAATTTAAAATAAAATATTTGTAGAATTAAAAAACTAAGACTAAATCCATAGTTACTACAAAGAACAACATAGGAATTCTATTAGAAGACAATCCTATCCAACCAAAAATAATTGCGTAACAGGAAGAGCAAATGATTCTAGAGAGGAACAAAACAAGGTAGCAAAGAACAACTCTTTGAGTTTTTGGCTATATTATAAGGTTTCTTTGTATCTTGTTGATAAAATTTAGAGTCCCCTTTTATTTGATCTGTTACCTACAAAAAAAACTAAGGAAATTCAATGTAAATTATTTCTTCTGGAAATATAAAGAGAAAATGATACAGTTACTATATTTAAGGCCTGAAAAATTAAGAAAGACAAGAGATGAAAGACTTAACTTTCTCGGGGGAAGTTCTTTTTAAAGGGCAAACAATCTCAATTCAAAATGATTATAATAAATAAGTATACCATTTTTTTATTTGAAAAAATATATAGTCTACATGAAGTTTTACTAACTAATCCTGTAAGCCAACGTTACTGTCACGTGTCTTATGATGTGAAAGAAGCTACTTATGTTTTTTTAATCTTAAAAAAGAACTAAAGGTGCAAAAAGTAAGAGAATTTTCCCAAAGTCTTTTTGTAAAAAGAAACTTGTTAACAGAACTGAGGAATGAAATTCTGAAATCTTTGTGGACACAGTACAAAACTTAGTCAGTGAGTGTAGCCATCTCTCAAAACATACAATCAGGTTCTTAAAAATCACTTAACTATATACAAAATATTAAGTCTTTATCAAATAAGTGATGCATGGTTAGTTTGCTTTTTTTAAGCTGGAAGTATATGCAGGAGACACAAAAGCAAAGTTTTGTTCATAGTGAAACATAAATGGCAGAAAAATTAATCTTACATGCTATCAGCAAAAAATCTTCAATATAAACTTTAGGATTATATAGCAAAATAATTTCATCCTCTTCTAATTATGTTTCAGAAAACATCTGTACAGTGAATTGTCACAAAATGGAATATATTAGTTATAATAAATAGAATCTCTAATTATAACTAATATAGAGAGAGACATCAGAAGTAGTCAAAAGCCATATGCTTTCTGGTATTTAATCATGTTTAACTTTTTTTCCCTAAGGCAAGTAGTTTTTTACCATGACAATCCAGTGCACCAATGAAAAGTATTATTTATTTATTTAAAGTTCACTAAAGCCTACTGAACTACATATAAGGATATTGCATTTCATAAAATACTCCTGTATTTTCCACTATGCTTTTAAATTTTGACATGACCATCAGTGAATTGTGAAACCAATACAGTGGGTTGCAATCTGCATTTCAAAAATAGAATAGACTAAAGCAGAACATATCATTGTGAATTACATGCAGTAAGAGTAACTGCTACTTTAAGAATTTTACTACTGAATTAAAATGGCTAATATAAAATGATGATTCAGGAGTTATTACACATTGGTCACAACTGTTACTAAAATTTTTTTAACACCAAAAACATTTTGCATTGGGGTACAGCCAGTTAACAATGTTGTGATAGTTTCAGGTGAACATACAACTATATTCTTAAACACACAACTGTATTCTTATTCTCCAAACAGAAATACTTATGTTAATAAAATATATAATTCTAGAAGAGAAAATTAAATCAATAATTTAAAGAAAAAAATAGTCTTAAGCGTAAAAAGACTACACCTATTCTTTGGACCATTTTAATGTGAAATTGCAATGGCATCCTAAATTAAAGTATTATATCTTAGTAATGATACGAAGGGAAAACTATTATTTACACTTTCTGGCAAGATTTTAAAATCTATGAGACCAATAATGAAGCAGAATATATGTTGGGGGAAGCTTTATTATAATTGTACAACAGTGTTGGCATGTCAGGGTTTTTCCTTAAATATTTTATTTGAATGCCATGCAAGGAGGAAAAGTCCTTAATTTAATCAGAGCATCAACTTTTAAAAAACAGTGGTGTCTGAATAATTGTTAAAATGAATGTATTGTGTCTTATTTTATATTTTATTAGATTTGGAAAACATGAAATAACCTGCATCATTAATTTGTCAAAAGTACTGCCCATTTCAACAGACAGCCTATATTTTCCAAACTAAGGGAAAAAAAAAATATATATATTTTTTCTTAGAACTGTGATATCTTCATTTTTTACATAGAAAAATGTGACTTTGTAAGTTAATTTATAATCAAACAAGCATGTTCTTGAAAATATTCAGGAATGTTTCTACTCTTTAATGGAAAAAGAAAAATGGGAAGTGATGAGAGAATTTTAGCTTTTTAAAATCAAGGGAAACACCATATACTAGATTTTTCTTGGAAGACTGTTTACCTGCCAGCAAATGAATGCTGCCCAACTACATCTCCATTTTGAAGGTGATAATCATTGAAGAAATCTGGACTCATGGCTCCTTCAGAGGCAACTAATCCATCTAGAAAGAAAACAGTAACTAATGAAACATCTTTGTAGGGAATAAAAAGGAAACTATTATATTAAGTAACACAATAGAAAATAACCTGTATATTTAATCCAGAAGAAAAATGTTAGCATGATGTTCAGTTCTGAGAGTATGAATGAATAGCATACATACTTAAATGTTCTGCACATTTATTAAGCATCTGCCATGTTGCAGTGGCTTCCCTGGTGGCTCAGTCGGTGAAGAGTCGGCCTGCAATGCAGGACACTCAGGTTCGATCTTGGATAGGGAAGATCCCCTGGAGAAAGAAATAGCAACCCACCCCAGTATTCTTGCCTAGAAAATTCCATGGACAGAGGAGCGTGGCAAGCTACAGTCCATGGGGTTGCAAAGAGTCAGACACGACTGAGTGACTAAACCTACCTATGTTGCAGTACTATTTTATTACACAGATGAATAAGACATGATCTCTGCCTTCAAGGAGCTTATAGTTTTGTGGAAAAGACAACAAAAGATGGGGGGTGAGAAAGGATACAGAGGAACAATAAGCATTTCAGGCTAAGAAAGAGAATGAGTAAGGAAATAGAACAGACATTAAATAGTATGGTTTTGGTAAAGAGCAACACTCTAATATATTCCACATTTTATATCTGGGCAGCTTCATTTGTGTAGCATGATTAGGGAATTACATATTTCAAATAAGTGAATTTTTATATAAGCAATGCTTCACACAGACACAAACACTTTGGTTAGAAACCCTTGTAAATACATTTTACACTCACTGTGTATACTGAAGATAATTTAAAACTTCTTGATAACTCAATCTTCATTATAAACATCAATTATTATATAGTAATGCCCTAGGTTATTAGATATATTGGACTACCTATAGTAAATGGTTACACTACCATGCTTTTTGAGTACTTATTTCTTTGCTTATAAAGTGCTCCTTTTCCTAAACCTAAGAATTTATTATTATTTCTTGCTGATTTTAGAGTGATACTGCTTTCCCATTTGCTCCAATCTAAGAATTGAGATAACCTATTTTTGATAGAATTATTAATAAGTTAAGAAGAAGAAGAATCTGAGGAAAAAAGATCTCAGGGCTTCAGGGCTGTCCTACTTGGCTCTTCTAATTACTAGTTGAAAAGCTCTGAGGCTTTCTAAAGTTTCAAGTATTCCAAGTTGGCAAGTGACCTCTAGGCAAATGTTGGCTAGGTTGTATCCACAACATTGTTTATAAATTTGGCACATAGTAAGCAAGCTATTTAGTAATGAGATGATCATTTTACACTTACCACATGCAATAATACTTTGCTAGGTCCTGTGGAAACAATTACAATACACAATTTCTGTTTTCAGGAGTTTTATGTTAAGTGAAATATAAAATAGACACTTAAGATGCAATTAAATAATATATTTTATTAATAAATGATTATATAACAGGAAGGGATTTATATGCCAAATGAGTGCTGGAGGTGAAAAAGCTATAGATGGATTACTGTGTTCTGCAGAGGTTAGAAAGTCCTAGTTGGGAAGGGAGGGAGGAAGAGGTGTAACTGATTTGAGTATCAATAGACAGTTGGGAATTAATGATAAAATCTGTTTAAGAGTAAGGGTATTAAAAATCAATTATATAGTAAAATTAATAGAGCTTGCAAATGAATAAGTAAAAATAATTTGTATTTCCATAATACTATCCATTTGCAATATGGATATACAACCTTCCCTTGGGGCTCAGCTGGTAAACAATCCGCCTGCAATGCAGGAGACATGGGTTCGATCCCTGGGTTGGGAAGATCCCCTGGAGACGGGAAAGGCTACCCACTTCAGGATTCTGGCCTGGAGAATTCCACAGACTGTATAGTCCATGGGGTCACAAAGAGTCAGACATGACTGAGTGACTTTCACTATTTGCTGTATACCGTATACTGAAGACTTGTATTTAGTTGTTGAATTGTTAATCATACCTTTGGTGTTTACCTCATTACTTTAGGAAAGTTAAAATACTCATGAGGAAGCATAAAAGTGTGTAATATTTAGTCTAGTTTCTGGGCCCTCTAAAAGCTGAAAATTCCATAAACCAAAAGACCAGCTAAACACAAAAAAGTTATGAAAACAAAATTACGGGAATGCCAAGCCACCACAGACTGAGAGTTAAGCAGCTAAAAAAATTATTTTCTATCTATCCAAGACTCTGTTGGTTAATTCTGCAAAAATCAACAAGTTTCTCTGTTCAATTAAAGCCAAATAATCGCAGATCAGGTTTTATGAAATCTGCCAATTTTAGAGGAACAAAGCAAAGTAAAATGCCAAAATAAAATGTATACCACACGTTGAAAATGAATACAAAGATATTCAGCATGCCAGAGAATAAAAGATTCTAACACTCAGAAATATAACACTCAGATAAAAACACAAATAAATAAAAATACCTGAATTATACTTTAAAAGTTTATATTACATGAAACATGATCTAGTGAGGTGAACCAGATGAGGAAGAAATTAAATGAAAAACTACGTTAAATTCTCAACATCTTCATTTTGATTCAGAGTTCTCATTGTCTTCAAAGGGAAAAATGAGTAAAAAGGATAAATGGAATACAGGAAGCTAGAAACAGCGATTTCATCAAACAGAGATAATACTAAAAAAAAACAACTGAGTTTAAAAGATTCAGCCAGAAATTTCATGAACCCAGAACATAGCAAGTTTAAGAAATTTCATAAGCCTAGAATACAATAAGTTTATAATAAAATAAGCCTGATGCTATGTGAATAAAAAATGGTAAATTTATACTTCTGAACTTAATTTCTAATAATTATAAGACACTGCAATTCATTCAATAAACTACACCTTGTACACTGCCCTCTAATGACTTGACAAAATTTAGGTAACTCTAATGTATGAGTAATCATTCTTCATTAGAATGAAGTATAGAAGTTAAATTATATCTTAAATCTCTAATTCAAGCACTTTAGCTTCTTTGGAACTATCTGTTTCTCAGTATTCTGTATCCAAAATTAATAATTCTTTTATAGAAATATTGGAAAGGAATTATGCCTTGTTGATTGAAATCATGTATTCAAATAAATTCAGCAGTGTCCTCAGCCTTCTACTTTACCTCACTGGTTCAAAGATAGCAACAAAGAATCAAAGATTTTCATGTAATGTTTAAATAGCCAGAGAACAAAGAGAAGACAGATGATACATAGCAAACATTTTGTAAACTGTAGAGCATTATATACATTAAGGTTATTAAATTATATGAAACAGTTTTTTTTAGAGCAGTTATGTAACACACCTTTTTTGAGGTGCTCTAAGTAATGATGATCTACTTCTGCTTCACTGACTATGCTAAAGCCTTTGACTGTGGATCACAACAAACTGTGGAAAATTCTCAAAGAGATGGGAATGCTAGTCTGCCTTTCCTGCATCCTGAGAAACCTGAATGCAGGGCAAGAAGCAAGAGTTAGAACCAAACATGGAACAATGGACTGCTTCCAACTTGGGAAAGGAATATGTCAAGGCTGTATATTGTCACCCTGCTTATTTAACTTATATGCAGAGTCCATCATGAAAAATGCCAGGCTGCATGAAGCACAAGCTAGAATCAAGTTTGCTGGGAGAAACATCAATAACCTCAGATATGCAGATAACTCCACCTTTATGGCAGAAAGCAAAGAGAAACTAAAGAGCCTCTTGATGAAAGTGAAAGCAGAGAGTGAAAAAGCTGGTTTAAAACTCAACATTAAAAAAAACAAAGATCACGGCATCTGGTCCTATCACTTAACGGCAAATAGAAGGGGAAACAATGGAAACAGTGACAGACGTTATTTTCTTGGGCTCCAAAATCACTGCAGATGGTGACTGAAGCCATGAAATTAAAAGACGCTTGCTCCGTGGAAGAAAAGCTATGACAAGCCTACACAGTGTATTAAAAAGCAGAGACATTACTTTGCCAACAAAGGTCCATCTAGTCAAAGCTATGGTTTTTCCAGTAGTCATGTATGGATGTGAGAGTTGGACTGTGAAGAAGGCTGAGCACCGAAGAATTGATGCTTTTGAACTGTGGCGTTGGAGCAGACTCTTGAGAATCTCTTGGACTGTAAAAAGATGAACCAGTCAATCCTAGGGTTGCAAAGAGTTGGACAAGATTGAGTGACTGAACAATAACAACAAACTACTGATGATAAATATGGTTATGAGTAAAATGGGGATATATACTAGAATAAAAATGAAATCAAAGCAAATTTATTGCCAGTATAGGTAATTTATCAACTTTGTAATTTCTGAAACTCAATTTAAAAAGTGGCTTATACATATTGTGCATAAAAATAAAAAACTTACAAAAACTCAGTATCATTTTATATACTGTTACTGAGACACATTTATTTCTAAAAGTCGAATGAGAACATAATATTAAGCTCTTTGGTGAACTAGCTAAAAGTGAAATGACTGTGTGGGAGAACATGAATATCAATAGTGGAGAAAGTGACAAAAAGAAATGACTAAAATAGATAAATCATAACTTATTTGGCCACACTTGATAAGATACATCACATAAACATATAGGTAAATGAAAATTACAGTTTTACAATGATTTTGAGACAGAAACTAACCATTTTAAGGTTCAAATTCTGTAATATAGTTATATATTAAAAGCTAAGAGTATTCACTACAATTAATAAGGAAGAACAGCAAAAAAGTAAAAAGTCATTTAGAAATGTGCTACAGTCCATGGAGTCGCAAAGAGTTGGACATGACTTAGAGACTGAACAACAATGAAAATAGCAATACAGCTTTACAGATTATAATATACTTCCTCTGTGGGTAAAAGTATTAAAGCAAACAGCAGCAATTTCATAATAGAAAGGGAATTAGTAGCTACAATCACACTTATTTTAGATTAAGAAAAAAAATTATGCAACTATAAGGAGATGTTAAATATATTCTTATTTCATATAACAAAATGAAGATCCATGTTTTAAAAAAATAGCAAGAAAGAAACGGATAGGTTTTGACATATTTAACTGTTGGAAAATACAGAAGGCAATACTAATGACCAGGAAGTTGTTGTTCAGTTGCTCAGTCGTGTCTGACTTTGAGACCCCATTGACTGCAGCATGCCAGGCTTCCCTGTCCTTTACCATCTCCCAGAGCTTGCTCAAACTCATGTCCATTGAGTTGGTGATGCCATCCAACCATCTCGTCCTCTGTCATCCCCTTCTCCTCCTGCCTTTAATCTTTCCCAGCGTCAGGGTCTTTTCTAATGAGTTAGCTCTTCACATCAGTATTGGAGCTTCAGCTTCAGCATCAGTCCTTCTAATGAATATTCCAGATTGATTTCCTTTAGGATTGACTGGTTGGATCTCCTTGCAGTCCAAGGGACTCTCAAGAGTCTTCTCCAACACCACAGCTCAAAAGCATCAATTCTTCGGTGCTCAGCCTTCTTTATGGTCCAACTCTAACATCCATACATGACTACTAGGAAAACCACAGCTTTGACTAGATGGACCTTTCTTGCAAAGTAATATCTCTGCTTTTTAATATGCTGTCTCGGTTTGTAATAGCTTTTTTTCCCCAAGGAGCAAGAGTCTTAATTTCATGGCTTGCAGTCACCATCTGCAGTGATTCTGGAGCCCAGGAAAATTAAGTCACTGTTTCCATTGTTTCCCATCTATCTGCCATGAAGTGATGGGACCAGATGCCATGATCTTTGTTTTTTGAATGTTGAGTATTAAGCCAGCTTTTTCACTCTCCTCTTTCACCTTCATCAAGAGGCTCTTTAGTTCCTCCTCCCTTTCTGCCATAAGGGTAGTGTCATCTGCATTTAAGGTTATTGACCAGGAAAAAGCAAATGCTATTTCATTTTTTAATAAAAGATAAGCCCAGGGTATCACTGTCCATTTAGCTTAACTTCTGTGGTTGAAAAACTACTAAAGTTGCCTTTATCAGAAGCAGCCTAAAGTTTCATGGAGACTCAGAGACTTAAATAAGATGGCTCAAGCATCTAAATAAATCTGTAGTACTACAAATTTCTGATGTTTCTGAAGATACAACTGTACATAATAAAAGATAAGAGACTACCACTATCTGGATTTCCATGACACATATCAAGAATACCACAGAGATTTTTTTAGTTGGTGAACTATTTATGAAAAATAAAGTAGATAAAATAATGAACTAAAAGAGTACAGATGGCTTGATATGAGAACTATATCAATGTAATCCCTGCTGTCAAGTGTCTACCATATTCAGGCTACAGGTGTAAAAAACAACCACCATGAGGCTATCTAATGATAACATTTCACTCCTAAAATGCTTAAATTTATCTTTCCATTAACTGTGGCTGTTTCTAAATTTAGATATATAAAAAGATGTACAATTTAGATTTCTCACAAAGCTTAAATTGTACATTTTAATTGTATCTCACAGAAAAATGTTATGATTTTCATTTTAAGAGGTTAATTTAAATGAAATGATTTTGGAAAAGAGGAATAATTTTTTAGAACTCTGTTCAGAAGCTAACTGTATTGAAACAACAAAGTTAAATACCTAAGTGGTTAAAAGCTTTATTCGTTTTTGGAAACTGCTCATTGATTCACACTGAAAAGTAGCTATCAATTTTCAAAGCAAGAAATCTGATTCTAAGAAATTCTGATTTCTATTATCAAAAAATTCATATCACATATATTTTACATTATTTTACTTCAGGAAGATCTCACTAGGTAAGGAACAGCTGCTTGCCATTACTGAACTAAGAAATTCTGGTTAGTTGAAATTAATGATCTACTCCATCTGGGCTGAAACACAAAGCAGATTTCATAACTACTGTTAAGTTCACTTAGGAAGAAATCTATTTAATTTTCAAAGTAAAGTACCAACTTTCCAGGATTGAAGTACCTTAAATCAAATATAAAAATAATTCAGCCTTATGTGCAATATATATGCATACAATTATGAAAATTACGAATGACTACACAGTAGGAAAAAAAGTGAGCCATTAATTCAGATACAATTACTTTCAATGCCTTTTATTTCTAACCTACTACAGATCTTAGAAATCCTTTCCTTCATCTCTTCAACTAAATGAGTTCAATTAAGTAATTAATATTGCCAACAGTCCCTGGTAGCTCAGATGGTAAAGCATCTGCCTACAATGCAGGAGACCTGGGTTTAATCCCTGGGTCGGGAAGATCTCCTGGAGAAGGAAATGGCAACCCACTCCAGTATTCTTGCTTGGAAAATCCCATGGACAGAGGAACCTGGTAGGCTACAGTCCATGGGGTCGCAAAGAGTCGGACACGACTGAGCGACTTCACTTCACAACATATTAGAAGGCAGAATATGCAACAACTTAGGCTCTAAGTACAGAATCCCTGGACAAAGGAAGGATGGCAGAATCAACAAGGGTATAATAAATGTAAGATTCATGTAAAAATTAAATTTTATCTTGAAAATACTAGCAGAGTGTAGAATGAAAAAAGCTATTGTTATAAACTGTCTAAATCTTCCCAATCAGAGAATCAAATAGGGGTTACTATTTCAAAACTAAAGCAAGTGAAAGTCACTCAGTCATATCCGACTCTTTGTGACCTCATGGACTATACAGTCCATGGAATTTTAAGCCAGAATACTGGAGTGGGTAGCCTTTCTGTTCTTTAGGGGATCTTCTCAACTCAGGGATCAAACCCAGGTCTCCCGCATTGCAGGCGGATTCTTTACCAGCTGAGCCACAAGGCAAGCCCAAGAATACTGGAGTGGGTACCCTATCCCTTCTCCAGGGGATCTTCTCGACCCAGGAGTTGGACCAGGGTCTCCTGCACTGCAGGCGGATTCTTTACCAACTGAGCTATGAGGGAAGCCCCAACTAAAGCAAAACCATGGCAAAATGAGACTGTTAAAATGAAATACACTGGAAAACAAAACATAAATTAGTAAGCTATATATTTAAATAAATACAGAATAGAGAAAAACACCACAGTTTCAAATAGTAGTAAATCCTGAAGATGTCATTTTAAGTTATACATTCTAGAAAGTAATAAATTAAGAGCAATTTTCTTTGTTTTAATTTTCCTTGTTATAGCCTTTTTAATGGAGATCACATCAAAGACTACCTTGGAAAAAAATAATGATGAGTTAATAGGTTTGCTCGGTGTGTACTGATGTTATGTCTAAAATCATTAGCAGAAGACCATTTACACACTGAAAGAAGTGCTTATAAAGCTTGGGAATGAGCAAGGTGGCAGACAAAAAACCCCTATAGCATACATTAAAAGGATTTATTTTTGTCTTGGTTATCATCTTACCTGAGCTGTAGAAAAGGTCAGGTCTCTCGAGAATATCTCCCTCATGGATGTATGGCTCAATTCGATCATCACCATACAAGTACTGCTCACTTTCATCCATCTGACGACTTTCTACCATCTCCAGCCACTGAGAGTTATGCCAGCGAAACTTCTCACTCTGAATTTTCTTGGCCCATTCTTCATCATATTCCTATTGTAAACAAATAGTCAATTATTTTTTATAAGTTTATGAAGGAATTTCTTTGATACTCAGATAGCAGTACTTTTATCTTACAAGAAGAACATTTGAGGGGGCTTTTGTTTGGGTTAGAGGAAACATTAAAATTACCTTTGAGGAATAATGTATACAATAATCAATAAAAATCAATTTATTACATATATTAAAGACATCTCTGTTTGTATACCAATTGCTACTGCCAATGGCAAAAACTGGAAAAGCTCAAATTTCACAAATTCTTTATCTAAGCATTACTAGAATTTACATAAGCAGGCAGACTTAAATCTCTAAATACTTTTGTTAGTATAATTATGTGGCACTAATGACAGGTGGTTAAGCATTAAAATCACATCTTTCGCTATATCTTTTTGTTTAGATGACATTTTCAGTAGCCAAAAAAAAGCAACATTAAAGTATTTTTCCTAAAAACTGAAATGGTTTACTACAAAAAACAAATAGAATTTAATTCAATTCTATTTCAACAACGAAATAATAATGTCTTATTTGGCCGTAATTTTTTAAAAAAATATCTCCTGTTTGGCAATGCCCTCCTGAGGAGCAAGATTGTGGCTTATTCACTGTATCTATAACATCTGTTCACAGAGAACTTCATTGGTGGGTGTTTTTGAAGGCCAAGTAGACAAGTTATAAATATTAGAAAAGCTACACCTGAACCTATCTAGCTTCACCGGCTGTGGCTACTTCTGACAAGTATATTCACTTAAAAATCACTGGACAGTACCATGGATTACTTGGAAAAAAGACTTCTGGTATTTCTTGTCATTCTAATCACAGGTTCCTTAGTATTAAATTCCTCTGTCATATCTTTAACACTTGTGTTTATACTTATTTTTTTAAGTTGGAAAGGTGCCAGGCAATACTATTGTCCTCCAGTAGTTGAAATGATTACAGTAACTTTAAATGCTGAGCAATTTTCATCCAAAGCTAAGTAAGGCTCAAGTCAAAAACTGTCATCACAGAATAAGTTTCTGGGATATAAGAATAAGTCTGAAATTTTATAATAAATGTAATTATTATTATAAAATTTTTTCTTGTTAAATTTAAAATTTCACATTATTGGTATATCTCTTAGCAGTGTCAGCTGTCATACTTTCTATAGTGCACAACTCTGAAACTTGTACCCCCACAGATCAGCATTCTGAAATCCCTAGCCTCAGCTATCTTCTGGATCTATCCTCAATGAATATAGCTTAGTAATCATGGCAAAGTCATAGTTTCTTTATGTATCAGAGTCTAAATTTATAGATACTAATCATGTGGTATGGTATAACACAAGGCACATTGGATAAGAACGCAGGTCTTATCCTGGGTTCTCCTTCTAGGTTTGATACTAACAGAAGTATGCAACTTTCTAAAAGTATTTCAGTATCTTTTGGTCTCAGATTCTTCAATTATAAATCAAATCTAATATTTATTGAAGTCCTAATGTTCTTTAAATAAAAATCTATGATTAATACCATTACTTCATAATACTGTCAAAATAACTATCCCTCTGCCAAATTGAAGAATAGCAGCAATATATGGAGTTCATCTTTTAAAAATTACAGAGCAATTCTAAATGAATATACAGTGTCAGAAATTTAAGAAATTCAACATGTATCAATTAAAACCAATTCCCTTTAACCCCTCTCCCCCAAATCTCTACTTTCCTCTTACACCACTACCTCCTCATCATCAGAAAATAACTCTGGGAACTCAGATGCCATATAGCTCAAACACAGCCAAGAAATGTCATCCAAATTTATCAAGCTATTGTGGAAATACTCTAGAAATATAGTTCTATTTCTTCGTTTTTGAAATGCTTCTTTTCACAAGGAGTGCACCCTAACATCCTTGCTATGGAACTTTAGTTTGTTCCATATTTAAAGGTAAACATGCTTTATCTTTTATTTTCTTCTCAGGTCGTGACATTATTATCTTAAGCACGTTTTCAAAAACTCTACAGTATCATTAAAGACTTATGGTTTGATTTTAGGTGGAATGTCCCATCCTTTTTGAAGTCCTATATCATTTTGTTTACTACTTAACCACTGAAACGTTATAAAGCCTTAACCAGCCTATTATCAGAGCCTGTTCACTATCAGGAAAACTCTTTGTCACTGGCTTCCGTCACACCTTGTATCTGATTAACACACTATAGGGTAACATAGAACTATATAGATCTGCTTTGTGTTCTGATGTAACTGATGGAAAACAGATTTCTCTTTCTCCTTTAATGTGGCAGCCCCCTAATTGAGAATGTAATATGGTTTATTTAATACAATTCTTCATACTAAATTAAAGCAGATCTAGAGTAATTGAGTTGCTCATTAAGGTTATGGTATTAGCTGCTAAAAGGATGCCTTTTATATGTTAGAAAATACTTCTTCCCAATGATATGTATACACAGATATACACGTAATTAAACACACATACATAAGAGTTGTTGATTTTTATGCACATACTACCTACTTCTCATTAGTACTGTCCCAAAAGTTGCCCTTTAGTCTTGACTATGGCATTTTCTAACCAGACCTCAAAGTAAAATTATCTCTTCAACTTCTGTTTAAAGCACTGAGGAGGCTTATCTGTGTAATATCACTTCAAATATTATGCCCACAAAGTGAAAGACATAACTAAAGGAAATTTATTTAAGTGAGAAACCATAACTCTTCTTTCATACTATACTTTTTTAAAATCCAACTGCTGACAATTAAAAAACCAATAAAGTAACATGCATAATACTGGCAGGGACTACACACACACACACAACACACGTGTGTGTGTGTGTGTTTATATATATGAGGAGGACATGTCAATCCACTCCAGTATTCTTGCCTAGAGAGACCATGGACAGAGGAGCATGGCGGGCTACAGTCCACAGGGTTGCACAAGAGTTGGACATGACTGAAGTGACTTAGTATGAATGCATGCGCACGCACACACACACACGTGTGTGTATATATATATATATATACACACACATACACACACACGTAAATTCTAACAAACTAAGAAAAACCATAAATTTCTGCAATATAAAAAAGAACTCCAAAAGAAGACTAAACACTAAACCCAACTGGGTTTATCTCACAAAGTCCAATTTGATTGTATGGAATTAAGAATACACAGCAAACTTACAAATCTGAGAAAAGAAAATTTGTGAAGACTGTAAAACAAACAAGAATGAACTCCACCTGCTCTGGAAAGAACATTTTAGAAGTTTCTGACAACTCACTCAAAAATCCCTGTTCTATGCCCATCACCAACCTGCAAGCTAATTTAAAATAACTACTTTCTATTCATTTTACCAATTCCTATCCATTCCATGCTTTTGAAATCCTCTCCTGAAATAACCTGAGTTTTAAAGCTAACACTATGAAAATTTCTCTATAGCTTTCCTTTTCAAGATGTTGTATGACATTTTTAGAAGTGGTCTTCCTTGATGGAAGTTTATTAATAAACCCACCTTTCCTGCCTGACACAGACTTGCCCTGCTAATTTTTGTGGAAACTCTAACAAACAATTGATGTCTTAGAAGTTAATGCAAGCATACATTAGTTTATCTCCTTTCAATATGCCAGTCTTATTAGATACAATTATTTCTATCCTAGAATGAAGAAGGCACCTTGTTTTCCTAGTTTGAAATAATTCCAGATTATTACAATACACACAATTTGCCAATGATCAAAATTAAGAGTTATTAAGAGTAAAAGACTGCCATTCAAAATCTCAGTGACACAAACCTCTGTTAGTATCAATCCACATGTAGCCTGTGGCTGGCTGGAAAGACAAAGGACAACAGTCTTACCAGAGAACCTAGGCACATTCCCTTTTCCACAAACAACCTGTAGATACAATTTGCCATTAGTACACAGTTATCTATTGATAGGGCCATGTGGTAGTACTGCTCCTAAAAGGTCAGTTCATGTTTAGACAACAGTATCCTGGTGTCCAGACTGTAAATTTTTATATTCTATATTGCCTTTAATCTTCAGGGTCAAATTTAATATCTGGAACATAGTATGTGCTTACTAAACATGTATTAGATGGTTGACAACCCAGTAATGTCAGGGGAGGAAATCATTTATTAATTGGGGAGGAATTTGAGGTTCTCAAATACTTCATACAAAGCTGAAGGAATACTGAGGTATAACAATCTAACTGGGTTTTCAGAAGCTCTCTATGTATAGAGGATTCTGTTCTTCCCTTGATAATTTCCAAGGCTTGGAAGAGAAAAGACAATCGTCAATTGCTGCGTAATTGCCTTGGAAGAGGAGAAAGCCAGGCTCCTCTCTCCTTGCTTCTCTTTCCCTTGCTGCAGCTAACCCATTCCCTGCCTCCCAAAGCTACATGCAAGGCCTAGTCAGACTTGTGACAATTTGCTGATGAGACCAGAGACTGCATCACCAACCATGAAGTCCTCTATGGTAGAGAGAGTACTATGAACACATATCTGTTTTAATTCACTAATTGAGGGCTTGGGCCTAAATACTATATATTAAACACTTTACCACTAGTGTAAAATAACATCTGCATAATTTGGGGGGCAAACACTTTACTGCAGATGGCATATTTCCCTAAGGCTTGCATGGCATCTAATTTTTCTTAGTATTATTTCACGATGTTTGTCTTAAGTGCAAGAAGTTTGTTTTCTTAAAGATAAATTGCCTTAAGCTACAAATAGTCCCACTCTATTTTATTTTTTATTATTATAGACTACAGCTATGCTAAAAATACTCAAGAATCAAAATCTATAGATAAAAAAGTCTTAAGAGATCATCTACTTCCATTCTAGGCAGGTTTCTAACAAACGATTTTAGAAAGTTGGTTATTTAGTTGTTATTCATGTTAAATGAACAAGACTTCACATTATCCCTTGACAGTCTATTCCCAGTGTTTCATCATCTTTGCTGTGTCTAATTAAAGTTTCTCCTGTTTCAAATTAAGCCCATTCTTTCTTGTTTTACTCT